ACACATTGTGCACCCAGCAAACAGCCACAGGAACGTATGACTCGTGAATTAGGTCCTCTGGGATTGGTAGGGGCTTTGGAGGTGACCTAGGTGGAGCCTATCACTTTCGTGACAAGAACCCAGGACCCAAGGAGGAGCAGGGATGTGCCCATGCTCCTGCCTCTGGGGCCAGCCCGTCTCACCTCCCTCCCTGCCTGCTCAGCTCTGTTTGTCCCTGAATGCGGGAGATGCCATGGTGAGGGGAGCAAAGAAGACAAATCACGCTTAATGGGACAGTAGAGATTTAAATGAAAGGACTCAGTAATCCCAAGTATCATATTACACGTGTATGTATCAGGAATGTGGAATTTGGAGAGTAAAAAGATTCTGATTTTTTCTTGTCCTTTTTTTTAGATCAGAATCAAGGTGGTGTAGAGCGGGTTTGAGGAGTGGGAAGGCTAAGGCAGCTTCCTATCCTGCCCAGGCCCTGGGCCTGGGTGACTTGGGGTCAGAGGTGAGGTACGTGGAGCCATCATCCTGAGAGGCTCAGAGTAGCAGGTCCCTTGCTGGGCATCTCTGCAGCTAGGGTGTTAAACTCCCATCATTCCTCGCTCAACAGAATTTGCTTTATCTTTTATAGGGAGGGTGCTTTCCAAAAATATATACCCACTGTCACAATTATCTAACACTTTTTCATAGTTACAGAGAAGATTCAAACCCAACTTGTTCTTAACTTATGTGAGAGTACAGACCTGGCCCAACTCCCTCTCAGCTTCCAAGCCAAGAATAGAATATGTTAGTGTTGAATTAAGGAGTCACGGATCATCATTCTCTGATGATTAAGAATTCATCTTCCCTGTGCTAATGCTTCATTTCCCCCATGTGTAGCACAGAAGCAGAGAAATGTATTTAAAAGCTTATTATGAGTAATCTCATAAGCTTATTATGAGTACACTTATTCCAAGTAAGTGAAAGCAAATACATCTTTATATAGCGTCTAGATAAGCACGATGATGTTTTAAGAAGCACTTACTGAATGAAAAGTGTCCCAGTGATTACAGGCAAATGTCACTATCAATTTCACTGGATGGAATAAGTCAAGGCTTATTATGTTAATCACATCTGACATTTCTATCCAGAGTGTAATTGTTCTTACATGATAAGGCAAGTTTTCAAGTTTGTGAACCTCATTTACCCCGTCAACTTGTTTCTTGCTGACCTTTTAGGGGGATGGTGGGGGTGGGGAGAAATGAAGGAAAGTGCGGGAGACCCTTGGGGCCTTTGGCTGTGGGGTGATCATAAGCCTACGCTTATATCCATCCACAATAAACAGTCAAAAATGAATCCTGAGCTGTCAGGCCCTGGAAGCACGGAAGGGGTCCGCGCTCAGACTCATGCATGAGGCTGAGGACAAAAGAGCCAAGAGGGAAGTTTGCTGTCCTTTCTGCTTACAACCCCCCCAGATGATGTAACATTGCAGCAGATGAGCGGACCCGTCACCATATCCTTGCATTGCATGTTAAAGAATAGCTAATCATTCTCCAACATTTTTTTGTGTGCAAGAGTCAAAGGTTAATAGTAATGTAATGACCTTGTGAATGTCACGGCTGTGCTTAGCCCTTCACACACACTATCGAATTCAATGTTTCTAAATACCATATGAGGGAGGTATGATGGACCACTGCTACAGACTGAATGTTTGTGTCTGTCCCAAATTCATATATTGCAACCTAATCCCCAAGGTGATGGTATGAGGAGGTGGGGCCTTTGAAAGGTGATTCCATTGTTAGGATAGAGCCCCCATAAATGGGATTATTGCCCTGATAAAAGAGACCCCAGAGAGCTCCTTCCCCACTTCCCTCATGCTGTCTATGAACCAGGTGTTGTTCTATGAACCAGAAAACTAGAAGGTGCTGTCTACGAACCAGGAAACAGGCTCTCACCAGACCCTGAATCTGTTGGTGCCTTGATCTTGGACTTCCTAACCTCAAGAACTGTGAGAAATAAGTTTCTGCTGCTTATAAACCACCCAGCCTGTGGCAATTTGCTGTAGCAGCCCGAATGGATAAGACAACCCCTTTTTACAGATGAGAGGCCTTTGCATGTGTTGTATAAACATGTAAGTGGGGAGCTGAAATCTTAAGGATATACACTCGCTTTGTTTTATTTATTTATTTATTTTTATTTGTTTTAAAGATTTTATTTATTTATTTGAGAGAAGTGTGAGCGAGAGAGCACAAGTGGGGGGGCGGGGGGGAGGGGTAGAGGGAGAGGGAGAAGTAGGTTCCTGGCCAAGCAGGGAGCCTATTGTGGATCATGACCTGAGCTGAAGGCAGACGCTTAACCGACTGAGCCACCCAGGCGCCCTGCTTTGTTTTATTTTTAATACCAACACAATACTTACTATATGCCAGGCAATCTTCTAAATGCTCGACTCAGGCTAACTTGTTTGCCCCTCATAACAACCCTGAGGCTGGTCACTCACCCAGGGAGCTGGAGCTGGGACCATAGCCCCTTGGCGGTTGGTTCCAGTCTGTGCTCCATACCCTATGCCATGCTGCTTCTCTGAGAATCAGCAGTGCAAGCTCACATCTCCCCCTGTGTACCTCTCCTTCCTAGCCCTGATCACCTTGAGAGCCACGTGATCATTTGTTTTCTCCTTCACCACCCTGTGCACTCACAATGGTGAGGACTAGATCTTCCATACTCACCACCATCTTCAGGACCCAAAACAATACCTAGCACATTGTAGGCCCTGGAAGAGGGATGGCTGAATGCAAGGATCTATCTGTTCTATTCTTCTGTGATAATCATGCAGAACGGAGCTGACAACACAGTTTTATAATTAATCTCATTGGTTTGAAATTGATATATGCTAAATATATGAGACATTTCTAAAGCCTGAAAGAGTCTAAAAACTATGGTTTTGCAAAAGATATGGTTTTGCTTGAGATATCATCTATTAAGGATGGACTAGTTTCTGGGCAATCCGTTAAGCATTTGACATGCATTTTCTCATTTACTTCTCGTAACAACTCTATGATTTAGGTACGATTTTGTCTATTTTGTTTTTTTTTCAATTTCAGGTGCACTCCCACAACATTGTGTTAATCGTAATCTTAAATTCAGAATGCACTGTCATTGTTCCAGGCATGGCCCCTTTTCATTCATCTTTTATTCATTTATTCATATATTTCTGGAATAAAGTTGACACACAACATTATATCAGTTTCAGGTGTACAACATAGTGATTTAACAAGTTTGTACATTACGTTTTGTTCACTGCAAGTGGAGCTCCCATCCTTCACCATACAACATTATTACAATACCATTGACTCTATTTCCTATGCTGTGCATTTCGTTCTTGTGACTTACTCATTCCATAACTGGAAGGCTATACCTCTTGCTCCCCTTTGCCCATTTTGCCCATCCCTCCATCCCTTTCCCCTCTGGCAACCATCAGTTTGTTCTCTGTATTTGGGGATCTGACTCTGCTTTTTGTTTGTTTATTCATTTGTTTTGTGTGTGTGTGTGTGTGTGGTTTTTTTTTTAGATTCCACTTATGACTGAACTTGGATGGTATTTGTCTTTCTCAGTCTGGCTTATTTTGTTTAGCATAATACCCTCAAGGAACTCCCGTGTTCTCTCAAAACCTTTACTTACATTTTAAGTAATAAAATGAACTTGCCAATGAACTTCCCGCCCAACCCAAGAACAAGAACGTTAATAACTTACGTCCATCTCTGTGCTCCTCCCATCCCCTTCTCTTGCTCTCCCCACACATAACCACTCTCCAGAATTTTGTATTTCTTTTTATACTGTTTGCCTCATACTTTACTGCTGAGTTTTCATTATTTTGGGATTTTATAAAAAGAGTGGCACACTTCTTCACTCAGCATCATATTCCTTACATTCATTGATGTTTTCATGAGGCGATGCCGTTCCTTTGCTTTCTCTGCTGTGTCTTTTTCCCGCCTATTCTTCTATTGATGGGCATTGCAGTTGCTTTCTGGTTTTGTTTTGATGAAAGGCTGTCTCTGTTGGGTGTAATGCTGATTTTAAAGAGGAAAAAAACTGAGGCACTGAGAAGTTAAGAAACTTGCCCAAGGTCTCCCAATGAGTGGCTGAATCAGGATTTGAACCTAGATCTCCCCAGCTCTAAAACATGCGGTCTTTCAGCACTACATTACACAGCCATTATCGGTCTTCCCATGAGATAAAGATAATAGGAGGTAAAGAGCACATTTTCCTTCCTTATTTTACTGGTAGAAGGTTACCCCACCCTCTCTTTGTCTATAGGAGAAGAAAACTTGTAAGTTGGGTTAATTAGCCATTCAAATAAAATCACCCTCTTGGATGCAGTAGCTATCCACTCCTTTCCATTTCAAAGTGATACTGTTGGGTACAATATTTTCTCAGATACCACACACCCAAATACTTTGGCTTTGCACCTGTAATCTGCTTAGCTCTCGGTTTGGGACCTAAATTCCCTTTGCAATAGAATCAATTGTGTGTGCATGTGTGTGTGTGTATGTATTTTTAAATCAAGTGTTCTGGGCGCCTGGGTGGCTCGGTTGGTAAAGCAAATGCCTTTTGCTTGGGTCATGATCCTGGGGTCCTGGGATCGAGTCATACATCGGGCTTCCCCTGCTCTGCGGGGAGGCTGCTTCTCCCTCTGCCTCTGCCGGCCATTCTCCCCACTTGTGCTCTCTCTCTCTCTCTGTCAAATAAATAAATAAAATCTTTTAAAAAAATAAATCAAGTGTTCTAAAGAAGAAAATGATGAAAAAATTAAGAAATATGTTATTTTCTGCAGCCTGTTAAAATATTTCTAGAAGCAAGATAACTAAATTCACCTGTTCAGATTAAAAATAGATTTTACATGGAAAATAGCTCAGTAAAATAAAAGAAGCTCTGATCATATAAACTGTAGATCACAATTTTAAAACAGAAATGATTTCACTTATCTAGGAAGGAATTTTCTAAAAAAAAGCTTAGTTATTTAGAATTCAGAAAAAAATAGGAATGAATGCAATATGTGTTTGTATTTATAGTTTATTCTTTGAAAAAAAGAGACATTTCTGTACTTTGGTGCTAAACAAAGTAAACTCTGAGTTTAGGTAGATGTTAAATGTGGACCAGATTGAGGTCTGGTCTCTACGAGGTTATATCCTTCCACTCTTGACCTGCTCCCAAACTTCAGTGCCTCCTGTGTTTTCACCTGTTCTCCTTACAGCAGACTATTCTGGGGGCAGCCCACTTCTTCCATAGCTATTGCTTACGTCTGTTTCCAGCCTTCTGGGCATGTGGATTTGGGGCATGCAGATGTTTTCATTGCTGTTTAAAAATAGAAGACAAAAAAGACATTTAAAAGTCATATAACAACTTCACCGAAAGTTTAGAAGATAGAGGGCATAAACTCTAACGTGCTCTCACCATCCCCATTCAATGCTTGCCATTGTGGTTATTTCCTTTTCATCCTGGCCTGCCACACATCAGCTATGGTGGCAAAGAGAGCTAGTCTTCCTTTCCCTAGTCTGCAGGTCTTGGTTTGGATTGGCCCAGAAGCAGACCCTGAGAAATAGTAATTTCTGTGGGAAATGCAGGCAATGCTGGTTGGGTAGTGGGGAAGTACTATAGGGAGGGGAAACAGTCAATGAAAAGTGTACTTGGGAAGTGATAGAAGCGTATTCCCCAAGAAAATTTGGGGACATGATGCAAAACACACACCTCAGAATAATTCTACTCTAGGGTGATGGAGCTGGGCCCTTTATACATCAACTCCCCACAGTCATTGTTTGAGGACTGCTGGTGGGGGGAGGATGGAGAAGGGGAGCCAATTCTTCAGCTCTGGGTATGTCCCCAGGTGGGGGTGGTCAAGAAAGAGCCACCAGGTTCAGAGATGCTCAATCTGGCAGCTGGAACTTGGCTGGAAAGACTGAGAGCCCTGAGTGACAGGGGCGGACCCAGAGCGTCTGCTATACTGCTCTGTTTCCTTAACATGAATTACAACACCAACACTTCTTGCTGCTACACAGCCTTTACATTGATGAGATGAGTTTCCGCATATTTCATAATGGAATCAGCATTTAACTCTCCCTCTAATATTGGATGTGTGCATTGCTTCAAAATGGAATGAGTGGGTTGGCAGCAAGTAGCTAACTCCTTTCAGTCTGAACTCTAAAAGCAGGGAGTATATATGCCCAGGAATGGAAGTGTCATATGTTCTTAAAGATACTGGCAGATCTGGGACGCCTGGGTGGCTCAGTCGGTTAAGCGACTGCCTTCGGCTCAGGTCATGATCCTGGAGTCCCGGGATCGAGTCCCGCATCGGGCTCCCTGCTCGGCGGGGAGTCTGCTTCTCCCCCTGACCCTCCCCCCTCTCATGTGCTTTCTCTCTCTCATTCTCTCTCTCTCAAATAAATAAAATCTTAAAAAAAAAAAAAAAGAAAGGGTATTGTGGGCGCCTGGGTGGCTCAGTTGGTTAAGCGACTGCCTTCGGCTCAGGTCATGATCCTGGAGTCCCGGGATCAAGTCCCGCATCGGGCTCCCTGCTCGGCAGGGAGTCTGCTTCTCCCTCTGACCCTCCCCCCTCTCATGTGCTTTCTCTCTCTCATTCTCTCTCTCAAATAAATAAAATCTTAAAAAAAAAAAAAAAAGAAAGGGTATTGTGGGCGCCTGGGTGGCTCAGTTGGTTAAGCGACTGCCTTCGGCTCAGGTCATGATCCTGGAGTCCCGGGATCGAGTCCCGCATCGGGCTCCCTGCTCGGCGGGGAGTCTGCTTCTCCCTCTGACCCTCCCCCTCTCATGTGTGTGCTCTCTCTCTCAAATAAATAAATAAATAAAATCTTTAAAAAAAAAAAAAAGATACTGGAAGATCTCTCGGCAAACGAGCCAGGCAGAACATCTCAGACGAAGACACCCTGAAAATCATGACCAAGTAGCCTATGCGGGATGTGCTCCCAATCGGATGTGCTGTTATTTTAATTGACACTTAGGAGACTGGTGCACGTTCATGGAAGAGCTGTACTTTGTTCTTCAGAAGTGCTAGGATCTATACATTTTTGTATATCAGAACTTTGTACCAGGGCCATGATAGTTCAGAAGCATGGAGCTGTCAAATAATTTCGTGCCAAAAAGAAATAGTGAAACAAGAGCCCTGGATTTTGCCACGGTTAACTTCCAAGGAGCTGTGCCCCCCCGGGGGGCTTCATGCTTCTCTGCGCCTCACTTGCACATCAAGGTGTGTGGCAAACACAGTCTGCAGCTTCTCCAACCGGCCTTACTACCTTCCGTCTTTGTCCTTGCTGACACAGCTCAGATTTTCTGTAGCTGCCAGGGGAGGAATGCCTGTTCTCAGGGAAAGACCTCCTGTGACAACACCAGGGGACAGTCATGATCACTTTAAGTCACTTGCAGTCATTCCTTTTTCCTTAGCCACATACCCATGTTCCCAACTTCCTTTATAGGGAAGGCCAAGGTAAAATAATAATTCTTACACATTATGACACTTGCCATGGGCTACTCTTTAAGTACTTCATGTATACCTTAACTCACTTCATTCTCTCCACAACCCTGTGAGCTAAGTATATTGTTATCACCCTATTTTACCAAGGATCAAAAATGTGCAGCAGAGAAGTAAGTTTGCTCAGGTCACACCTAGTAAATGATGGAGCAAGGACCCTCATGCAGACTTGTCTGTCTTCACCATCTATGCTCCTTTGTTACATGCAGAATACCCGGGCTTGTCTTTATGTAACCAGTAGTATATCAAAGCAGTACACCTGAATCAGCAAGGGTTGGCCTTGGCTCTCCTATACAGCCTTCCTCATCACCACTGATTCCAACAGAAGTTACCTCCTGGCTTTGAACGATCAAAATTTGTAGTTTCCTCTTAAAGGTCCCATAATTAAATGCAAACATTAGTCAAAATCACATTACTGAAAGGTAGCTGGTAAGAATGCTCTTTCTCCTGGTCTTTGAAGGTCAAGCTGTGTAGGTTAGACTGCTTGCAAAATTGCCTCCCCTCCAGTTCTGCTCTGTGTCACACATACACGCATGTGCGTATACATACACACACCTTCTGTGGGCATCCATATATATGGTACTTCAGGATAGGCTCTCCTATGTGCTCATTCTTCAACATCCTATTTGAGGAAAACTTTCCTCACACCTCATGCCAACCTGATCTCAATTCTTGAAGTCACTGACTTCTACTTTTTCTTCGGTTTTTCTGTTGACTTTCTTTTTGGTCAGAGACACACTGTCATCTTTCATGCTAGAAGAAGAATGGAGGGCGCCTGGGTGGCTCAGTTGGTTGGGCGACTGCCTTCGGCTCAGGTCATGATCCTGGAGTCCCGGGATCGAGTCCCGCATCGGGCTCCCTGCTCTGCGGGGAGTCTGCTTCTCCCTCCGGCCCTCCCCCCTCTCATGTGCTCTCTCTCGTTCTCTCTCTCTCAAATAGATAAATAGAATCTTTAAAAAATATAAAAAATATATATAAAAAAAAAGAAGAAGAATGGATTCTTCTCATAGAGTCCTTATTTTGTTTTAGCAACCAGCTAACACCTCTTCCAATTCCACAGAGCCCTTAGGTCCAGCTTACCTTGACCCCAAACCCAAAATCGCAACTTCAACCAGAGCTTCAAAGACTCCAGGCAGTAACTTCTTAACGCTTTTGGTTGTCAGTGATTCAGTACTCTCCAGTGAGCTCTGCTCATCCTTCATTCCAGGTAATTATAACTATAGTAATGGGAAAAAATAACACGAGGTTTTGCCTGGAGAACCACTCCCAGTTCTCTTTGGGAAATCATATAGAATGAGAGTTTCCAAAGCACTGGTTATAGGAAAACATTGTCCCAGTTTTCAAATGGGTAAAGGCTGTATTACAGAAACTATAACACTTCAGTTGGACGTGACCATGAACATTCAGAAAAGGAAGCACCCCAAGAGTTGATATGAACTCACTAAGAACAAATCAGGCCAGGCTGAGCTTGTTTTCACTTTTGAGAGAGCTGGTAAATGAGAGAAGCAGATCTTAGCCTCACCTCTAATACCCTGGTGTGTGACAACCAGTGGAAGGGGGTGGAGTAGGGTTATAATTTGCCCTCCAGGAATGATACATATATTCAATCTATATTGATCTGTTGCAGCCCCTTAAACTGTAAAAGAGAAAGCTACAAACTAAGCAACTGTTCCACTTAAATACTTAGAGGGGCTGTTGTGTGGAGGAAGCATTAGGTTCTAGGGGGCAGAACTAGAATAAGTGCGTGCAGATCGCAAGGAGTCAGCTCTGCACTCCATATAGGGAAAAACTAATGCTTAGAATGGAGTTTCTTAAATCTGAGTCATATACAGACCTTCTGATAGAGAAAAAAATACTCTTGCAAATCCCCAAGGTTTACAAACATTTTTTCTATGATGTTTCTTAATTATAGGCATACAGCTAGGTACAAAGTCCTTATGCTTACAGTTACGCAAATTTACAAATTAAAGGTACAAACTACATCTACAAATGTATAAATTAAATGCAAACAAAGCGATGGCAACAATATTTAAATAACCGTATTTCAACGTGACAGATTATTTTGTTTTGCTGAAACAAAATCACCATTCAGAACCTGACTATGGTATCAATGGCTTTGTCTTGGGCAGGTGCAGACCACCACATAAACTGTGATAACCCAAACCTATTTCTTTTTTCTGAACCGCAGAGAAACCTTCATTTAGGAGGCATGCTGTGATGCACTTTCTTTCACTAAAACTGACACCATTTGTTGCCTGTTGAATCCAACACTGTTCTTTTCTTATTCATCCCAAACAATTAAAGTAGAGCTACTCTCGTAGCCCATAAACAAAATAAGCACTGACAAATATATTCTGGTGGTCCTCAGATAAAAAGATTTCACTACATTTGTCAAAGCGCATAGAATGTACAACACAAAGAGTGACCCTTAATGTAAAGAATGAACTTTAGTTAATAGCAATATATAGAGCGGTGCTTGGCTGGCTCAGTCAGTAGAGCACATGACTCTTGATCTTGGGGTCATGAGTTCGAGCCCCACATTGGATGTAGAGATTACTTAGATAAATAAATAAATAAACTTTAAAAATGTAGCAAGAATTTATCGATATTGGCTCATCAATTGTAACAAAAGTACACATTAATATAAGTCATTAATAATAAGGAAATTAGAGGTACAGTGTTTAGGGGTATATGGGAACTGTATACTTTCCGCTCATTTTCTCTGTAAACCTGAAACTGCTCAAAAAACAAAAAGTCTAATTTTAAAAAAAGGGTCACCATAACATGCTTATGTATTAGTTCTTTCTAGTTCATTGTCCAAATGAAAAGACAAAATTTCTCGGTCTTGTATAAAACTCTTAGACCTGCAGGAATATGTCTGTGTGTTGCAGACTCCCCACCATCGTTTAAGAAATGCTGAAATCAGGGGTTCAAGAATGGAATGGGGCATTCCGAAAAGTTGTTAGAGCTCTTTCCTCAAAGTGTTCCAGAAAATGTCTGGAGGGTCATCTTTCGGAGATGTCCTTCTGGGGAGTTTTGCTTTTGGTGGGAGGTCGGAAGACGTGATCTCCAATCCCAAGATTATATAATTCCAGTTTTTATGAAGTTTCACCCTGAATTAATTTGCTTTTGGTCCTACTTTTCACAGACTGCAGTGGCCTGATGCCAGAACCACAATGTACTTAAACTTGTAACTTTCTGTCTTTTTTTGAATTCCCACAACTCTGTCCAAAGAGTGACAATTTCATTTAGGCCAACCAATTGTCAATTTTTTGGTCCTGGGAAAGAATAATAAGTCCCACTTCATTCCAGGGAGCACAAATAGCATTCCTTCCCGATGGCCTATCACATTCCATTCTGAGCCAAGTACCATAGTTACAGTTCCATTTTTACATCTTTGGGCAGTCCATTTTCTAACTGTTCTCTTAGGCAAACCCTAGAAAACCTTTCTATTTCACTATTCCCTATGGAAAATATTTCCTTCCAGGAACCCGAGGCTAGGAGAGAATCTATAAAGGGACTCTTGTAATTGTAAACTTTTTTTTAAAACCACTTTTTATACTTTATTGCATTTACATGTGTACATCTTTGCTTAGTTTCAGAAAATGACACTGGCATGTTAGATGTTGTAATATCATTGGCATTAGTTTGTAAAATCCTTGTGCAAAGCATCAGTTGGGTCTAAAATACTGAATTGCTTCAGCTGGGGTAGAATTCCTAAATTGGGGTCTAATCGTTTTCTATTTGAAAGTAAGGAAGCTGGGTCCTATTCATAAACGTGGATACCTAAGGGAGGAGGAGACAGCCATGTGTTCTGATTCCAGTCTGTCCCCCTCTCTCTCCTGGGCAGCTCTTATCCCCTATCCCATTACATCAGACTTCTCACACTTTCGCCTTGGGACTTCCAGAAATGAAGGCTGGCTGAGAGACATGGCTTTTCAACTCCACCTACTGTCTGTTCCAAGAACTGCATTTAGGGGTTTTTTTGTTTTGTTTTTTAAGATTTATTTATTTGAGAGAGAGAGAAAGAGGGCAGGGGGAGGGGCAGAGGGAGAGGGAGGGAGAGAATCCCAAGCTGATTCCCCACTGGGCTCGATCCCACGACCCTGAGATCATGACCTGAGCCGAAATCAAGTGTGGGGCGCTCCACCCAGGCGCCCCTCCAAGAACTGCATTCGTATTTCAGACATCCCAGTCCCAAATCCAAGAGGGGAGATGGCTCTCCTAAGCAGAAAGAGGAAATGTATTGCAGTAGAAAGAAAGGATAAAATGGAAGAGCAAGTGAAAAATCACAGATTCTTGGGACGCCTGGGTGGCTTAGTTGGTTAAGAGTTGGCCTTTGGTCAGGCTGTGATCCCAGGGTCCTAAGATTGAGTCCCACCCACATCAGGCTCCTTGCTCAGCAGGGAGCCTGCTTCTCCCTTTGCCTGCCTCTCCCCCTGTTTGTGCTCTCTCTCTCTTTCTGACAAATAAATAAATAAAATCTTAAAAAAGAAAAGAAAAGAAAAGAAAATTCACAGATTCTGGGGAATAAGCCTGAAAAATAAGGCACAGAGGGAAACCTGTTTCTCTCTCTTTTGACATTTCCAAAAGGGAAGACTTATTTATACAAGATTACAACCAAACTCCAGTAGATTGAAGAGAGATGATGTTTTCCATGTAGTAATATAATCTACTAATTATTCTCAAGTTGAATTAATATCAGTCATCTGATAATATTTCTAGTAAAAGAGATATAAATATATTTCTTTTTGTAATTGTTATCCCAGTGTGTTCTCTGTTTGAAGGGTATTACAGAGTTAGTATCAATGCATTTTTGAACACGGTTAACAGTCTAAAAAGAGACAAAACATGCCTCCCTGGGGCGCCTGGGTGACTCAGTCAGTTAGACTTAGACGTCTGCTTTTGGCTCAGGTCATGTTGCTAAGGTAGGGCTCCCTGCTCAGTGGGGACCCTGCTTCTCCCTTTCCCTCTGCTCCTCACCTCTCCCCCCAACCCCCGCCCACCTGTGCTCTCTCTCTCACACACTCTCTCTCTTTCAAATAAATAAAACCTTAAAACAAAACAAAAAAAGCCTCCCTGATGTGTTGAAATTCTGCCTTTTTCTTTTTTTTTCACTTCAGTGTTTTTTTTTTGTTTTTTTTTTTTTTTTAATACTTTCACCAGTTTCAGGAAAGGGTGGGTTGGAGTCAGGGGCTTCCTGAAACCTTTCAGAACAAGAATTCTAATGAAGCAGTGTGTTTAGAGGGGCCCCCTGAGAATCGTGTTTTGGAACATACCGACCCCACGTGGTATTATCTTTGTCACATTTTGCAGTTTTGTGTGAAATTTATTTTTAATCTTTAACAAAGCCTGCCCATGTTTATCTTATGTTATGAAAAAGTGTAATGGTTTAAAACAAAACTTTTTAAAATAATTAAATATACAATGAATGCTGAAACATAAAAGTCAGACAGAATGTTACCTTAACAAGAAAGAGCTTCCTAAGAATCAAAGGGTTGTTGTTTGTTTTATTTGCTAAAGACAAATAACAAGTACTTTCACTTTAAGGGATTCTGATGGCTCTGGAAGGAGGTGAGGAGAAGCTTGGATTCCCCACACCCCCCCAAGACAAAGGCTTCCTACCCCTCGTATTCACAGAGCTGAATACTTATTGACACAAAAAACTATATACTTTGTGTTTAGAGTGGAATGCTGAGATTTGATTGAAGACAGCACATGGATCAAGCAAATGGCTTTCTTGAGCATGCTTTCAATCATATTTAAAATTATGGGAGAGAGAGAGAGAGAGAAGACACCTTGGGCTTGCCTTATTTTGTGTATGGGAAGTCAGTAATCAGGGCAGCACGGAGTGGGAATGAATTGCAGGGGCTGCCTTCTCATTGTATGTAAAAGCCTCGGAGTTCCATCCACTTTTCACGTTGAGCTGATTTCAGTGCTATCTTTGATAAAGAAGGGAAGATCTGGGCTTTTCAAGAAGGAGAGCCTTTTTTCTCTAAGTACCTACAGATTTGGGGTTTCTTTAAGTCAGTGATTACTTAAGTCAGTTATGGGCTAACGTCTCAGAATAGGACAAGATGGAAATATATTCTCAGTTTAGTTTGTGGTGGTATGTAAGACATGAGTTTGAATAGTGGTGGTCCCTTTCTTTATGGGACCACTGTAATTAGCCAAAGCACCTTTGGATAGTGTAATATCTATCTGGTCCTCCCGCCATCTGCAGCTATCTTAGGGGCCCTACCAAGTGCTACAAAAATGCTGTTCAAAGAGAAACAGTGGTTCTTTTTCTTTATTTTTTATGTGTTGCCTGCAAACAGCTTCAAAATACGTTTGGTAATTTTTATGAAAGCTCTCAACAAGTATTTATTTTGCATGTGGCTAGATAGTGATTTCTGTGTTTTTATGGAAGTGTTGCTGAATTTTCCACGCAGTTAGCATAGTAAAATGGTTAAGAGCTTGAGCTCTAGAATTTGACACACCGATTCTGTCACTTACTTGGCAAGATCTGGGCAAGTCAATGGAGACCAAATTTGCTCATTCACAAAATGGCAAGTAGTAATAGTATTTAACTTCAAAGGTTGTTGTGAGGATTGAACACAGGTAACGAAACAAGCTCAGCACAGGACCTGGCATTAAGCGGCAACTCTTCTTATGATAAGTACGGATATATGTCCAAGAACTTAAATCAGTTACAAAGAACATAATGCATGTTCGGCAGTAGTTGAGGGAAGTCTAACACTACCTCTCTTTTAAACTTGGTTCCTTTCTGTGATAGTCTCATGGAATGATATGCAAGTTCTTAGCAGAATGCTCATCTGTAGGCAGTCCACAGGCTTGTGCTGTGAGGAGGAAGGTCACAAAGCAAGGAGAGTGACCCTGATAAATATAGACATGACAGAAGTCATGCTGAAAAGGATTTTGTTGAACCAATCATTCTTTAAATCTCTATGTGGGACTGGATTTAATTGCAGTGTGTGTGATAAATGATATACCATGACTTCAGGAAATCTTACAGAAAACAAACAAACAAAAAAACCTCTCATGGTTGGGAGTGCAGTAATGCAAATATTCCAAACACCAGGTACTCCCTAAATCATGGCTTTGGAATGCACTGAATCAACAAATTTACTTTGTTTTGCTTAGTTTACTTTAATGGGAGGCAGTAGGGCAGAGTGGTGAAAAGAGGCAGCTCGACTGCTATTACTATTTTACAGATTATTTCACAATATTGTTATTAATAATTGCTTGTGATTGTTGATTGGCATTTTATAATTATATACACATTAAAAGAGCTTCATATGTATTAGAGATGTATTAGAGATATGTATTAGGGATAATAAAAGTATGTATGTATTCATATGTATTAGAGATAATAAAAGTAAGTTTAAAAGTATCAAAGACATGAGGGCGCCTGGGTGGCTCAGTCGTTAAGTGTCTGCCTTTGGCTCAGGTCATGGTCCCACGGTCCTGGGATCGAGTCCCACATCGGGCTCTCTGCTTGGCAGGAAGCCTGCTTCTCCCTCTCCCACTCCCCCTGCTTGTGTTCCCTCTCTATGCCTCTGTCAAATAAATAAATAAAATAAAATAAAAAAGTATCAAAGACATGATAGGGGACTAGTTTTATAAGGAAGGATTCGGGAAATAAGACTAATTATTTTGAGTAGGCTAATTCTGTTATTTCAGGAGTCTAAGAGAGTTGTTTTGGTTTGCAGAAAGACTGGAGTTTGGATTATACCTATTGGATATATTTTACATACACTTTTTTTAATAAATAAAAGATTAATAATAAAAAGATTTTATTTATTTCTTTATTTGAGAGAGAGAGAGAGAGAGAGAGCACGAGCAGGGGGAGGGGCTGAGGAAGAGGGAGAAGCAGGTTCCCTGCCGAGCCCAGAGCCCAACCTCCAGGCTCCATCCCAGGACCCTGAGATCTGACCTGAGCCAAAGTCAGAGGCTTAACTGACCAAGCCACCCAGACGCCCCTCATATATGTTTTTATTTACTTTTCAATTGACTGAATAGGTGAGTTTTAAAAACCCTTTACTTCATCCACAGCATGATTAACATTAGTATTAGGACTGAGTCTACAATGTTTTTCCTAACGTTAATTTCATAGTTGTTTTCAGTTCTGGATGTGAAGAAGGTTAGACCTGAGGATGGCTGATTCTGAATGAACGTAGGCTCTGCTATAAGATGGCCCCATAATACCTCTACTGGAATGTTCTTTATAGCAACATCCTGATCTGCAAAATTGATAGTGAGTAGACAGTTGTAGCTTCAATCCCATAACTCTACCACAAAAATAGATTTTCAGATTCTTTTAATATGAGCGTTATCTAGATAAAACTATATCTAGGTCCTCTTTGACAAGTTACATGATTCAGTGCTTTGTTTCTATAAACTAAAGTTAGAAACTCAGAGTGACTCACTTTTCTTTTTTGTATGCATCTAAGTGTACAAGGAAATCGGACTGCTTCTGGTGTTGCTTTCTTTAAAAGAAAAAAAAGATCTGCTCCTTCTCAAGTATCCTTTTTAGGTCAGCAATTTTGAAGTGTAAGACTTATTGATATCCGAGCGGAAAGGGCTGATGCTCTGCTTTATCACGACCCTGTGAGTAGAGCTCTTCCATAGCTGAAGAAAGGAAAACATTTGTTGTACTAATACTGAATGTGCTTCCTGTGTAAAATAACCTTTAACTCTGTGGAGATCCCCCATTTTAATGATCAGGGACATAGTGGAAAGAGAAGGAAATCCAAACACCCCACTGCAGCCATTCTCCTCAACAGCAGGTCAAGCTGCAATCTTCCTCATGACAGAAATGGCTGCTGGCAGAATGTTCAACTAGGCTCCTGTTTCTCCTATTTTAAGATATGATGACTTTAATTGTTTAAAAATGTGTGTGACATTTTGACCCCGTAAGAAGGCTGGGCCACATCAATCAAGGATCATGAGGTAGATGGACCAGTGGAATCCTCTTACTCATGCATCTGTCATTGGGATTGCAGGAATCTGGTCAACTGTAGAATCAGCTTTTAAATCCCAAGCATGACTGCACGTTTCTCGATCTCCATCTGTCTGTTATAGAAACGCTACTGAGTCTGCATTGACTGCCCTGGCCATTGGAACAGTTCTGTTTATGCAGAAACTTAAAGTGGGATTTCCTACTCCGAATGAGGGGGAAATCCAGCAGTGTTCACCTAGGGAAACAAACTTCTCAAGTATATTTTCGTTTTAGAAACCCCCTGCAGGAGCCCAGCTCCTTAATTTCTGTGAAAGTATGTCTATGTGTTAGGGAAAGAAAGAGGTTAAAATATGAGTTCTGAGCTTCCCTGGTATGCTTGCACTATGCATCCCACTGCAGGACACAATCACATTCTGTCTCAGCAAACTCACCTTGAGAACTGCATCTGGTATTCCCAGAATGCAGTTAGCATTGGATGAACATGAGAGCTTCCCACAGGTCAACCAATGTCACGTCTGCCTCCGAGCTCACTTGCAGATTGCTCCTTCTTAGAAAGATATGCCTACTTTCAAAAGACATCGGAACTGATTGGAAGAGAGAAGAAAAAGAGTAATGGGGACTGATTAATTTAATCTCCTTCCCACTCTGTATTTTCTCTCTCTGTCTGTCTTTCTCTCTCTATCCCACTCTCTCCTTCTCCTTCCCACTTACATGGGCAATCCCCTCAAGCCAGATCCTCTGATTCATCTTAATTTTCATCTGTTTTGTCTCCTAAGAATGAGTGATTGGTCTCTGAGTACAGATCAAACCTAATGACACAAGAGTTGTGTATTTCACATGCCTTAGATGGCATTACTGGGTTCTAAAACTCTAGAGAAGTCTGACATGGATTTATGGGATAGTGGAAAGAACACTACCTCGATCTTAGTAGGTGTTTGATAACTATTAACTTTGTTTGACATTTGATATTTCCTGATGGGTTAAACACTGGTTAGGAATCATGAGAGCCAGGCTCTGTCAGCATTCTGCTACTAATTTGATGTATAACCTTTGACAGTCTCCCATCCTCTCTGGGTTTACAATTTCCTGGCTTTCTAAAAAGGAATTGTACCTTCATGATTCTTGAAATGGGGCATTCATGCTCCCAGACAGAAGAGTTTAGGATTGTATCAGAGGATGTACCTAGCCAGAAGAGAAATACCTTCCTAGAGTTATCAATTTCACTTGAGGGTAAAACCTGAAAGTTTTGTTTTCTGTTGTTATATGAAACCAAACAAGGATATATTAGGTACTCCTGAAATGTAAAGTGTGCCCAAATTTCATGCCTGCAGTCAAGTTTTGGGTCTTGACCACAGATTGCTTCTTATTCATATTCACTTTCTTCTGCTTTTAGAAGTTCTTCAGTGGAGAACTCTGAGAAGTCCTCTCAGGTGATAGGTACTCTCCCTTTTAGCTTCTGTTTCTTCTCCTAGTCTTAAAGTGTTATCTCTTTGAAGGATCTTCCTTGTGCCCTAGGCTTAGACTACCACTTACCTGCATCTATCCCTCTCATTTAGATGTCTCTTCTGGGCTCCAAAAGCCTGTATATCTAGTTGCCTACTTGGGATTTCCTTCTCGATATCTCAAACCCAACATGTCTAAGGCAGGACTCATGACTTTCCCCCCAAACCTGGTACCCTTGCAATGTCCCATATCTGAGTAAATGCTACTACCTCCATTAAATTGCACAAGCTGGAAAATTGTGTCATCCTTGACACCTGCTGATTTCCAACAACCGATCCATCACCCAAACTTGTAATTATTGACTTCTAAATAGCTCTCAAATCCATCGTCTCTCCATCTTCAAGCTACTCTCATCCCTTGTTTTAGCCTCATTACTCCACATCTATTGTGGCCCCCTGTGTAAGATCCTGCATTTTCCTGCCTGTACCCACCTGTAACAGCTTCATTTCCTGCTCTAGCCACACTGGCCTTCTCCTATTCGCTCATATACACCAGGCTACCTCTTCTCACTGTACCTTGCCTATGTCTATTTTCACTTTCTCCTTCCTTCACTCACTTAACTTCTACTCTTCAGACTCAAGAAGCCTTTTCTGACCTTGCTGACTAGTTCCAATCTCCTTTATTAGGACCACTTATTTCTCTTTTGTGGCACTTGCTGAAGCCATAATTTTTTGTTTATTTGATTATTTGATTGATAGGGCTTCCCTCTAAGGCTGAAATTCCATGAGGACAGGAATCATATCTGGCAGGCATTGTGACCCCATAAGCCATTAGTTACTTTAATAGTAGGCACTTTAATAAATAAATATTTGGTGAATGAATGAAGTAGTTATTCACTAGCAAAGGAATGGGAAGTATGGATAAATGCCACCAATAACAATGAGTTAATATACACAGAAGAATTTTGGGATTCTAAAATGTTCAATTATTAAATTTTGTTTGGAGTGATTAGTTGGGATGTTATTTTTCAAACATCAAGTGCTGATTGTTTGAAATATATTGTGCAGATATATAAAGACAAAATGCAAAAAAGCATTTGGAGTCAAGCACTTAGAGCTTTTAACAGAATCCAATCTTTTTTTTTTAAAGATTTTATTTATTTATTTGTTAGATAGAGAGGGAGGGTGCGCAAAAGCAGGGGGAGCATCAGGCAGAGGGAGAAGCAGGCTCCCTGCTGAGCAAGGAGGCCAATGTAAGACTCAATCCCAGGACCCTGGGATCATGACCTGAGCAGAAGGCAGACGCTTAACTGACTGAGCCACCCAGGAATCCCAGAATTTCCAGTCTTTTAATTTTAATGGCTGCTATACCATTAAAACAAAAGAGCATTCAAACAAAAGAGTGGTTTTTATACATATCCATAAACCAGATTCTTCATTTCTTTTAACAATTAAAATTATTTTTCTGCACTTGCATGACTTTTGTCCAAACAAGACAAATATATTTTCACAGTGTTCCCCACTTAAAACAAATCTCCTTAAGAATTAATGGCATGACATGGGAATGCCAACAGCAGAAATAACTTTAAAATGATCTTCTTTTACTTGTAAGACCTAAGATTTCTGTTTAAATGACAACATGAGTCACAACACTAAGTTTAAAAAGTAATCTCAATATATACAGATTTTCAAATAAATTTTCAATGGAAGGTGAAATCCTACAAGTTGTCTTTAATAAGTGATTAATCTTTTCTTACTAGTCATTAATTAAGGCATACATATGCATAAAAATAAAACAGATTTCTTCAGGTACATGATACAAAATGAGCAGCGGTTATTTGAAAAACATTGAGCACTTACTCTGTTACAATGTTCTGTTTGCATTTCACAGGGAAAAATAAAGTATTATGTTTTAAGATTATTTTGGGGCCACAGACTATCTGACTAAAGAGTAGACATTAAGCAAAAAAGGCAATTATTTTTCTCCTATAACATGAAGTCTAGGGGTAGGCAATCTGTGTTCAGTGAGGTTATCAAGAACATGGGTTCCATTTCTCCATTCTTGTTTTTATCACCTCATGATCCCACAATTGCATTCAAAGAAAGTGGTGTTATAAGGGGGTAAGGATAGGCAAGGGTAAAATGTGACCATTTTAGAGTGGCCCTCCTGTTTTATCATAAAAGTTACCACATGCCTCAAAAATTCAAGGCAGGAGAAATAAAAAGGCATTCATACCAAGACACACTGTGGTCAAATGCAGACAAAAAGAAAATCTTAAAGCAGCCAGGGAGAAAAATACAGATTACCCACAAGGGAAAAACAGACTTATGGTATACTTATCAACAGCAACAATGGATGCCAGAAGGCAGTGGAACAATATTTTCAAAATGCAGAGAGAAAATAATTGACAGGCTAGATTTCTATATCTAGCAAAACTATCTTTTATGAGGGCAAAATAAAAACATTTTCCAACAAACACAAAATGAAAGTTTACTATCACTCACCAGAGAAATTTCTACAGGATGTATTCCAGGATGAAGAAAACTCATCCCAGAAAGTAGGTCTTAGATCCAGAGCAGATAGCAAAGAAAATAATAAACACATGGGTAAATCTAGCCAATCACTGTGGTAAACAACGATAGTAATGTCTTAATTATAAGATTAAAAAATACATATACAACTAAAATGTTGGTAAAAATGGCATGTAAGTTGGGAGGAGATAATCAGGAATAAGGCATCAAAGGTCTGTACTTTGTTCAGGAGGGTAAAACACTAACTTCAAAACTTATTAAATTACACACTTTATTAGTTACATACTTTATTAAATTACACATACACATATGTATGTTAAAATTATAGAACACCTCGTAAAATATTAAGAAACAAAGGTATAAACTCCAAGCTAATAAAGAGGAAAATAGATTAAGGAAAAAAAAACCAAAAACATAAAACAATCCCCCCAAAAAGTCAAGAAGATAAAAAAAGAATATAGAAAAGGCAGAATAATAGAATGCATAAAGTAAAATGGTAGAAATGAAATTCAAATAATTAAAATAACAATAAGGGTGAGTGAGCCAACCTTTTTATCAGATTAGATAGAAAGCAAAATTTTGCTACATGTTGTTTACATGAGACGTGTAAAACAAGTTCACAGAGGAGTGACAAGTAAAAGTAAACAACATTACTAAAGATAGAGGTTTATTACTTAAGGAAAGTCCAATTCATTAGAAAAACGTAAGCATTTCTAAACTCACATACTTCTAATAAGATAGCTTCAAAAAATGTCAAGCAAAAAATGACAAAACAAGAAAAAGAAATTGACAAATACACTATGATTGAGGTAGACTTGAATGAATCCTTGCCAGAAATTGACAAGATAAAAATATCAGTAATAATAGGGATGATTTGACCATCACAATAAACAAACCAGGTCTAATAAACATATATAGATGCCTGTACCCAATAAATGGAGAATACACTTTCTGTTCCCAGGAACAGTTATAATTGACAATGTACTAGCCTAGAAAGTAAGTCTCAACAAAGGCCAAAAAATCACTATCATATAGAACACATTCTCTGACCACAATGCAATAACAAAAAATAACCCCCAAAACTTGGAAATTTAAAAGTATAATTCTAAACTGTTCATGGGTTAAAAAAGCAAAAGGAAATAAGAAAATTAGAACCAACAATAACAATTCTATAGGAAAGCTTGTGAAATACAGCTAAAGTGGTAGATGGAGGAAGTGATAGCCTTATAATACATTAATAAAAAAAGTTGAGATTATAAAAAGAACAAAAAATCTAAATAGAATAGAATAAAGGAAATAAAAAAAGACCAAAATTAATGAAATAAAACATTCAGTAGAAAGGATAACAATGAAAATGTGGATTCATTGAAAAGAAATTAATAAAACTGGCAAACCCTTAGCAAACTGATGAAGAAAGAGAACAGATACAATTTTAAGAAAAAGGAAATCATAAATACAACAGCAATTACGAAGATAAAATATTACAAGCAATTTTTAAATAAATTTAAAAACAAGTAAAATAGGCAAATTTCTGAAAATACAAATTTACAAAACTGACTTAAGAAATTTAAAATTGTAAATAAGCCTGATATTTAGCTTGTATGCAATTG